TGCCGAGGTGATGTTGGAGGGCTGGTCAGGGTGTTGGCGATGGAACTCCCTGATGAGCCGTGCATCCAGGATCTGACGGGCCGGAACCCATGACCGCTCCTCCGGACCGTACCCCTCCCAGTCGACGAGGTACTGCAGGCCCCTTCCCCGGCGACGAGAGCGGAGCAAGCGGTGCACCGTGTAAGCAGGGTCCCCATCGATGATGCGAGGCGGTGGGGGTGGCCGGGAGGCGGGCTGCAGGTGGCTCTCCCGACACGGCTTTAGCTTGGAGACATGGAAGGTGGGATGAATCCGCATGGAACGGGGCAACTTGAGTCGAACAGCCACTGGGTTTATCACCCTCTCGATGGGGAAAGGACCGATGAATTTGGGGCCCAACTTCCTCGACTCCACCCTCAAAGGCAGGTCCCGGGTAGAAAGCCACACCTTCTGTCCCACCTGATAAGGGGGGGCCTGGGAGCGGTGACGGTTGGCGGCTGTCGAGTATCTGTCGGCGGCCCGTAGAAGTGCAGCCCTGGCCTGTGTCCAGGTCCGGCGGCAGCGGCGGATGAAGGCCTCCACTGAGGGACAGACGGTCTCTTTCTCTTGAGCAGAAAACAGGGGAGGCTGAAAGCCGTAAGCGCACTGGAAAGGGGAGAGTCCAGTAGCGGAGCTGATGAGGGTGTTGTGGGCGTACTCCACCCACAGCAGTTGCGAGGACCAGGAGGCAGGGTGCCTGGAGACCATGCAGCGGAGCGCCGTTTCCATTTCTTGATTCATCCTTTCTGACTGACCATTAGACTGGGGATGAAATCCAGACGTCAGGCTGGTGGAGGCCCCCAGGAGACGGCAGAATTCCCTCCAGAAGGTAGAGGTGAACTGGGGGCCTCGATCGGAGACCACATCAGACGGGAGGCCGTGAATCCGGAACACGTGTTGCAGAATCAGTTCAGCAGTCTCTTTGGCCGATGGAAGCTTGGGCAGGGGCACGAAATGAGCCATTTTACTGAAGCGGTCCACAATAGTCAAAATGGCGGTGTGGCCCCCTGACAGCGGCAGTCCAGTGACAAAGTCCAAAGAGATGTGGGACCAGGGGCGGTGAGGCACAGGCAGGGGTTGCAGGTGGCCGGCAGGGGCCTGCCGAGGGGCCTTGTTCTGGTTGCAGATTGGGCAAGCGTTAACAAAGTCTCTGGTGTCCTCATCCAAAGTAGCCCACCAGAACCGCCGTTGTAGGACCTCCTTGGTACGGAGGATCCCCGGATGGCAGGTGAGCCGGGAGTCGTGGGCCCACTGCAGAACCTCCGTCCTTAACTCCTGCGGGACGAATAGGCGGTCTTGGGGGCAGGAGCTGGGCCCGGGCTGGTCCTCCAAAGCAGCTCTAACTCGCTCCTCCACCCCCCAGGTGAGAGCGGCCATCAGACGAGAAGTGGGGAGGATGTTGTCAGGGCTGGGGGAGTCCTCTTCCCCGACCATGAACTGACGGGACAGGGCGTCAGGTTTGACGTTGCGGGAGCCTGGACGGTAGGAGAGAGTGAAGTTGAATCTGGCGAAGAAGAGGGCCCACCGGGCTTGACGAGAGTTCAGCCTCTTGGCCGAGCGGATGTACTCCAGATTCTTGTGGTCAGTCCAGACGAGAAAGGGGGTCTTGGTTCCCTCCAACCAATGGCGCCACTCCTCCAGTGCCAGCTTCACCGCCAACAGTTCTCGATTCCCGATGTCGTAATTTCTTTCAGCTGGGGACAGACGCCGGGAGAAAAAGGCGCAGGGGTGAAGCTTCTGGTCCCTGGCAGCACGTTGGGAGAGGACGGCCCCCACCCCCACATCCGAAGCGTCGACTTCTACGACGAACTGTCTCTCGGGGTCAGGGATCAGGAGAATGGGGGCTGAGGTGAACCGCCCCTTCAGGTGCAGGAACGCCTCCTCGGCGGCCGAGGTCCACCTGAAAGGGACCTTGGAGGAGGTGAGGGCGGTGAGAGGTGCTGCCACCGTGCTGTAGCCCCGGATGAACCTCCTATAGAAGTTGGCGAACCCCAGGAATCGTTGCAGCTGTTTGCGGGAATCAGGGACGGGCCAGGAGGTGACAGCTGATACCTTGACGGGGTCCATCTCCATGCGGTCCCGGCCTATGATGTACCCCAGGAAGGAGACAGAGGGGGCGTGGAACTCGCACTTCTCCGCCTTGACGAACAGTGAGTTCTCCAGTAGTCGCTGCAACACTGTCTGGACGTGATGAATGTGTTCTTGCTTGGAGCGGGAGAAGATGAGAATATCGTCTAGGTAGACGAACACGAACTTATTGAGCATGTCTCGGAGCACATCATTGATGAGGGCTTGGAACACAGCAGGGGCATTGGTGAGGCCGAAAGGCATCACCAGGTACTCGTAATGTCCAGTAGGGGTGTTGAAGGCCGTCTTCCACTCGTCTCCCTCACGGATCCGGACCAGATGGTATGCGTTGCGGAGGTCCAACTTAGTGAAGATGGTGGCCCCTTGGAGCAGCTCGAAGGCTGAGGCGATGAGGGGGAGAGGGTAGCGGTTCTTCACCGTGATGTCGTTGAGCCCTCTGTAGTCGATGCAGGGCCTCAATGTCCCGTCCTTCTTGTCGACGAAGAAGAACCCCGCTCCGGCAGGTGAAGAGGAGGGTCGGATGATCCCGGCGGCCAGGGCGTCGTTTATGTAGGTCTCCATGGCTTCCCTTTCAGGTGCGGACAGGGAGTAGAGGCGGCCCTTGGGAGGGACGGAGCCGGGAAGGAGGTCGATGGCACAGTCGTAGGGCCGATGAGGGGGCAGAGAGGTGGCCCTAGCCTTGCTAAATACCTCCCAAAAGTCGTGGTAGTCAGGGGGCACCATGGAGAGGTCTGAGGTGGAACGGGAGCTGGCCGGTGGCGTGGATGCCACTGCTGGTCTGAGGCAGATCTGTTGATAGGAGGGGCTCCATCTCAGGATGGACCCCTTGGACCATTCTATGTGGGGGTTATGACGGCGAAGCCAGGGGTAGCCAAGAATCAGGGGAAGGTTGGGAGATCTCAGAATGTGAAACTGAATAGTCTCTTGATGTGTGCCTCTGCAAACACCTCACCTCCAGCAAGTAAACTTCTTTCGTATGCCCTGCTGTGTGATGAAAAAAAAACACATGCAGCAAAATTAACAGGGGACTGTAGCCGCAGATCAGTCTCTTGCTATCAAACGTCAATACTTAAGACAAGCCTTCATCAGTTCAAGACACACCCTCAAGGGGGGTAGCCCTGTTGTAATGGAAATGAAAATCCCTGCTGCGCTGGGCTGACAGCTAAACCATGCCAAACCAGCCCATGACTGTTGAAAAGGAGTACAAGGCAAAGATCCAGTTTATCCTGATCTGAAGTGGTAAAGTCGGGCAAGTGCTGTTTGATATAAATTCTTACTTGTAGATACCTGAAGGCATTAGATGAAGGCAAGTTGTACTTTTCCAGGAGCTGCTTAAGATTGGCAGAAGTGTTGTTTACACAAATATCCCCTACTGAATGAATACCACTGAATTTCCATTGTAAAAAGCCAATTATTTGCTGCAACAAGCTGTGCTAACAGAGAGTTCAGTGGAGTTGAGTTCATCTTCTCGTTGAGTTCTCTTTTGTTCCAGTTGCAGTGGTTTGGTTGATTTGTTGTTATATGTTAAAAATGTGCAGCTCTGTAGCTGTGCACACTGCAATTTCATCCGTATTTGAAACTACTGAGCAATCTGTTCTTTAACCAGACTTGAGCTGGTCTCATGAGATCACTTTTAAAGGCTAACATTGGTGTTTTGTGTCTAACTGACTAATGGGAACAACAATTTCTGAAATTGGTCACATATTGAGCGAGAAGGCTACAGCATTATGGAAAACATTATATAAAGAATCCCCACAGAGATAGACCTTTATGATAAGGAGTAAGATCCTTTTTTTTTTTTTTTTTTTTTTAACCAGAAACAGCCCCAAAATTGCTGTCGCCAAACCCACCAGACTCCATTTAAACAAACAGTAATCATAGTGTGTACAGAGTCAGCGTATTTCACATCTAACTTGTTGAATTAAAGGTTTGTTTCAACCAAACCAGAGTTGGTAATTGTTGGAAGAGTGAGAAGACGAACCAAGATGTTTTTTTTTTTGTTTTGTTTTGTTTCTGTTGACTTCTTTTACAGATGATAAAAATAATGATGATAAATAATTTGTATTTAATAGGAGCCTGGTGAGTTTGGTTACAGTGATTAGACTTAAAACAGGCTTTCCCCAACAAGATTCCATGGTAAGTTAGATCAGACTTCAACTTAAACATCCTTTATGAAACTGAGAATACATAAGCCTGATTTACTAAGCCTAGTTTAACCAGAAATATTACTTTATCAAACACCCCTCTAGTATCAACCATCTCAACCACTGTTGTGTGTTGTCTGTGTGTGTTGGATACTCAATGCATTATGATGTGACCTTTCTGGCTCAGAGGCCTGGATTCTCCTGTCTTAACAGATGACAGCCATGCGGAGCTTACCAACGAGGCTCACTTTGTATTCAGTGTGCTCAGTAGCTGCCAAACCCAGATCAGATATTTGAACTGAAAAATCCATAGATATGATGACCTCATATCCTTTGTTCGGCACCTAATCCGTTGATTGATCGCTAATGCTGGTTGCCTTGGGAAAGTGTTGACATGGGCATTAGCTTTCATCACTTACCCACAAAAATATGATGTGAGCATTGATTTTCTGGAGGGATTAGACTGTTATTGAAAACAAAGAGCTGCGTTGCAAAATATATCTTCATGAATATTTATGGAACTGTCTATTTCAAACTGTAACACTTTCTCAGGCTGTCAGTGTTGGCACTACTGAGTTTATCTGACACAGATAACCCCGATCTCTTGTGAGTCTTTGATTTCAAAGAGCATTTTCTCCCCTTTTGTGTTTTTTCTCCTGGGTATGTTTAATTCTAACTGTAAGACGAATGAAACTATAATTCACTCACTTGCACATTGACACACTTATTCGTTCCCTCACACACCATCAGGTCCGCACAATGCTGGAGGAGATCATGGAGAAGCTTCCAGAGGAGTTCAACATGGCCGAGCTGCTGGGGAAGGCGGAGGAGAGGACTCCCTACCAGGTGGTGGCGCTGCAGGAGTGTGAGCGCATGAACCTCCTCACACAGGAGATCAGACGCTCTCTCTGCGAGCTCAGCCTGGGACTCAAGGTGAGGAGACAGAGATGGGTGATGGGGATTATTACAATCATATTTGTAACTACTCTGTCCACACTGGCATTATTTTTAAATTGCTTTTTAGATGGTTGTTTGATTTTGTCCAATTTTATCTTGTGCATTTTACAGTAGTGGAATGTAAGAAGTTTTTATACTGTATAAGAGGCTCAGATTATTATTCTAATTGTCTGACAACATTATTACATTGAATTTCCCCTCAGGGGGATTAATAAAGTAAATAAACTTAAACTTATAGAAAGGATCCCTACAGAGACAGACAGACAGACAGACTGAAAGAGTAAGATCCCTTTTATTTGTATGGCAGCTGTGGCTCAGGAGGCAGAGCTGGTCACCTGCTCCTCTAGTCTGCATTTTGAAGTATCCTGGGGCGAGATACTGAGCCTCAAATCGCTCCTGAAGTGCCATCAATGTGCAAGTGAATGTATTATTAAGTATCAGGTATTTCTATGTTAGCCTTTGCTACTAGTGTATGAATGTGTGAATGACAGCTTTAGTTACTGAATTTTTAAGATATTTTTTTTTACATAAACATATTATCACTTTATATAAGACAATAAATAGGGGTTATGTTTAAGCGCTGTTAGCAGTTCCACCAGAAAGAGATTATCCCTCCAAACCTTTCACATTGTTTCATCTGATTAACTGAGGCCCAGAGGTGGCAAATCATCCAAAATTTCTCCATAAAGCAAAGATTAGAGAAAACTCTGGAAAAAATTTTTGGCAGTACAGCTGTGTTTTTTCTCTGTTCTTAACGATAAATGATCTCATGACCCCTCTGATTTATCTCACCTCTTTGTGTGGGGCCTAACTCCTAGTTTGGTGACCAATAGAATAAACCAACTAGCTCCACCTAGAGCAGCTACAACATCAAAGTGCTGCTCACACATTGAGGGGCTGATTTTCTGCTTTGAATACATGAAGTAAATTCAGCTGATGATAGGTACTTTTACTTAAGTAGGACTTTAAACACAGGACTTTTACTTGTAATGGAGTATTTTTACTTGAGTTATCTGATCTGAGTACTTCAAAGTATTTACAAGCAATCATCAGCACTGACAGACAATCCATGCCTTCCATTCTGTGCATGACAAAATGTGTGCTAAAACTCTCAGTCATAATCATGGCGAGGTTCTTTAATCAGATTTGTGTTTTGTTTTTACTTTAATAGAAAAAGCATAATTATGACTTTCTTTATCAACCAAGGCTTTTGGATTTATGATTTCAGTGAGCAACAGAAAAGCCCTGATCGAGTAATACAAATGTCATTATAAAAAATGTAAAGTATTTAAAGCTGCATTATTAATTAATTTTATTTATGGCCATTTGGGGGCAGTGGAACAAGCTGTAAACACAGCACTGACATTGAGTGTGAGCAAACAGTTGCCTATTTACACATCCAGCAACATTAGCATTCATCTGGAGACACGTTGGCCACAAATATTATGTCCAACGATCACTCTCCTTTTTCCTCTGTTCAAGCATGTAATCGCTGCCGAGGGTTAGTGGGATCACGCCCCCTGACATATGAAATATTGTTGCCCCCCCCCCCAATATTTGGTCATGACATCAGATTCTCCAAAAGCTTAAACAATATAATGCTTCCATTGTGCACATTTCCAATTTTTTTAAATAAATGGTGAAAAAAGTTTTGTCCAATCAAATTACCACAAACTACTTTCCATTAATTTAAATCCCATGTGGGCTGACCTCCTTGTATTTTAAAGTGGATCTCTGAGCTTTTCCTGTGGGAGACGCTGCTCGGCCTACTCTCGTCTCTCTTTTTTTTTAATCAGCTCAGTGTAACGTTTGACTTTTGCGTGAAAATGGAGGGAGTCAGATGTTTTTGCTAATCTGATAGACGCTAACACCATGGACTATATACAGAGATAGATGATGTGTCTCTGCTTCTTCCCACTGTACAAAAAGAAGCCAAAATATCCCAGATATGGCCACTGCCATCTTGCACTGGTGGCGTCATTAGGGGCCAGAGTCTGTGCATTAGCGACTGGGAGTGGAGCTGTGGTATTGAGTTTCCGCCCATAAACCCATCCGACCCAATCGAGAGTGGTGCTATTGATCACAAGGACACCAACTTACACGCACAGTTGTCCACTAATTAATTAAACTAACTAAAACCAAACTTATCAGAAAAAATGAACACTTGAACATAATAACTATAATTGGAACTACCAATTCCTAAAATGACAGAAACCATCTTTAGAAAAATGTATTTGACGTGTAGTTGTAATTTTATATCCCGTCAGCTAACATGCAGGAGGCGGAGTTTATGACCTATACTGCATCCAGTCACCAGGGAGTGATCAAGATGTTTTGGCTTCTCTTTTGGGGAGCTGTCATGTTGTCTGTCTTTATTATACATTCACTGGCTAACACCAACATAGAGGCCTGTTTGGGAACAAATGTGACACCAGTCACACTGACGGATATCAATATGTATGTCGTGTGTGTTCAGGTTTAAGTGAGCTATTATTCTGAGAAGGCAGAGTACAATTTTGACTCAATTCATTCACCTCCTGGAGTATCTGTGCCTTATGTCTCTTCCTTCGCCCCTCCCCATGGGGATCCTTCGGGATTTCTCTTTTGTCTTTGTCCTGCTCAGTGTCCATTTCTATTACAGACCGTATCCTGTAAATTTACAGTGGTTTAAATGCCATATGAAACAGTGAGTGAAATTACATCGCAAAATGAATATTTCACTTCACTTTTGTAGCAATTTAGAGTCACCAGTTAACCTAACCTGCATGTCTTTGTATGTCAGAAAAAAAAACACACCAAAATTAGCTTTCCATTAAATATCACAGTTAACTTGAATTACAGATACATCTTGCTTACCAACTGCGTACCTAGTAAGCAATAGTGTTAGCTGAAAACAGCATCCACCCCTTGCTACTCCACAACTCCACCCCCCTCACCCATGTGTGGTCACTTCTGGCTCCAAAAAAAAAAAAATCAAAGATGGTGACGGCCAAAATTCTAAACTTGAAGCTTCAAAACGGTAGTCTACAAACCAATCAGTGGTGTCAAAGTAGCTACGTCCACTTCTTTATTAAAGTCCATGATCCTCCCTGTAATGTTAATCTCGTCTGAATGGGGCTTATTTCTCATTTGGTTGGGGGCTCCCCGGAACCCGTAAATCTCCTTCAGGTGTCCACAGAGTTGATCTGCCGCTGGCCCAGCAGGGATGATGCCTAGAGCTAAATACATTAAATATAAAACAAATGAACTTCAATTGAACTGTCCCTTAAAATCCACCACAAAACCCTCAATTATCCTCAACACCTATGATTCACACTGTGTTGGCTCAGCTGCAGTTGACTGCTGCTGCATTAGTGTTCCTGCATAACTAAACCTTTTCCTCTGTTGTTTGTCAGAAGCTCAGTCTTCACAATGACTCAGAGATTTGGCTTACAGAGGAGCAGAAAGAAATGAGACGTCTGCGCTCTGTGTGTCAAGCCTGACTGAGTCGTGTGTTAACAACAAACGAAAAGAGAAAAAGGGGGGAAAAAATGTGTGAAAGCGTTTGTTGGGAGTTATGAGGCTTCGATCTCCTGACACAACAAGCTTCAATAAATCGGCTCAGTGATTTAAAAGCCATGTAGACTATTGTACCAGCGAATGGAATCATATTTCGTCTTTATAGTGGAATAAATAGGAGCTATCAGAATGTTAGCCTTGGTCAGGTGATGCAGCTTCATTGTGTCATGGTGTGTCAAAGTATGCTGTGGTTGTACTGACGGATCAGGATTATTTTTGAGCGGTGCTGTGAAGGTGAAAGGTTCACTATCAACACACAGATGTAGATAAATGTACAAAATCTTATCAGCCTCATAAGGAATTGTCCTGACTGTCACATGTGGGTATCTATACATCAGCAATACATCAGCTCCAGTATCAGTAGGTGAAGGACACGACTGTTGTCTCATTACTCTTCAGTGCCATCTTCTCTTGGCTATCTTACAGCATGTTTTCTTATCTGGCATGGCGTGCTTGTCTGCGTATTTATGTATGCATCAGAGGCAAGGGCTTGTTACCCCTCAACACCTTATGCGGCTGGGAGGTGTCACCTCCAATGTTTAGCTGCTGAGACAAACAGGAAGTGACACACTGAACTCCTAGTTCCTTTCTGTAATGAAAATTCACAAACCGACGAAGAACTTTTATGTACTAAAGAGGCAGCATCTGTCAGCCCTGAGAACAGTCATCCTAATTAAAATAGACGTTTTCCAGACAGAGGATGAAAGCCAAAAGCCAGATCTTTCTAATATCCACAAGCCGCCTGTTCATCAAAGTACAGCAAACACTGGGAAATTCAAACTATAGTAGTGATAAAGTTTATGTCCAAATGTTGTTTCTTTCTGCCACAGCATACAGCTTTTTAATGTATTTGCCCTGTGGTCTCCTTTGAGCAGAATATCAGTACCCAAAAGGTTGTAATGTTTATTTTACGGTCAGACAGCAGCCATGGCAGAACAGGAAAAAGCCACAGACTTTAGCGTTCTGGCCTCTCATTACAGCTGCCATGAATGAGAAGGGTATCTCTGCAGAGCTCCATGCTCAGGCCCAAGACCTCCATCGGACCCTTTCTGATCCATAGCTTGAAGAAGGAAGTTAATGTTGTACTCCAGAGTTGATCATCAGGATTCGATAGCATGTGTGTATTGAAGTTAGGTAATGTGACATTAAGCAGCAAATAACCTGTATTAACCTTGTAAATTAGCTAACCTTAGCTAGCCACATATCCTAATGTGATACACAGTAACATTAGCTAATGTTAGCAAATTCACATGTTTAGTATATAAGTTATGTGGTTCTTAACATTGTGTTACCTAATTTCATAAGTTACATTTATATCGAAATATTAGGGTTGTATTGTTACCTTGGCGTTACTGGTGGAGGTTGTGTGTCAGAAGTTATGTGACATCTAGGGCAACCCTTTACGCTCTGTAGCCTATAATATATCTAAGAATAGAACACATGGCATCTAAACATATAATACACTTGTTTATCAATGATAAGCACAACAAACAGTGCATGTGTAGCCTAAACATGAAACCAAATGTGATCAGTCAGCTTTTAATAGCAGGGGTTAAAGTTCTCCGGCGTGGCAAAGTTTCTGTCCAGCACAGGCAGAAGTGCTCTGCAGTGCAAGCATTTCACTTGCATTTGCCCCTAAAAATTTATATATGTGCAAACCGGGTAAATGATTTAGGCACACAGTGTGCCACAACCTACTGTTTACCATAATCGGCATTGAACGTTTTTTCGTCACTAACCGATCAAATAAATGTATTTTAAAACTCGCTCCTTTGGCTCTGATAGAGCCGTCTCCCTCCCTGCCTGCAGTCCCCACTGCACTGGGCTTTGTGACAATGTCCCGCCTACAGCCCCCTCTGATTGGTTACACAGCAAAAGTCAACACTGATGCCTGTCCATGCTTTCACATCATGTCACATTGAGACACAGAGCACAGACGGAGCGGGAGATGCTCCGGTAAGCCAGCGGTAATTTCAAGGTAAGGTAACAGAAACCAGACAGAAACGAAAGTTGCAATAAAAATCCTCTATGCTGAAGTTTTAAAGTCACCACCACAACATTATATGATCCATTTCAATGATGACATGCTTGCCCAGAGGTGAAATTTCTACGTAACTGCCTGTTTAATTCACATCAAGCGCGATACAATTTTGCAAACAGCCTAAATGATTTAGCTTCTAAAAATAAATAGCACCAAGGCAAAAAAGAGATGCAGGAGCTATAAGTCAAAAAGTCTGGTAACCACTGAAAGTTTAATCTTTATTTATAATAAAAGTTTAATCTGAGAACTAACTACTAAACTACTAACTTTTTGTTCATTTTGATAATGAACACGTTCCTTTGCAACACATACATTTCTATTTCTTCATTTTGTGACCGCAACACCAAGCCCCCCGCTCCAGAAAAGATTTCAGATTTCAGGCACACAAATCTTCCGTGCTCCACATTTCAGGCACAAAATTTTTTCTTGCTTTAACCCCTGTAACAGGCTTTGTAACATACATACATCATCTTGTGATGTGTTATATTCACTGTGGTGTGGATGTATTAAAAATACACATATGCTCAGTAGGCTACTTTTTTATTACAATAAGCAATAACACAATATACTGTGCACAGTGGTATGTAACGTTATTCATAGATAGGGAAGCATAATAAACACAGGTGGTTTTCCACCCTAACATTAATGATTTTTCAGCATGTTTCCTGAGATGGAGATGGGTCCCAGCCTGGAGCTCTGCAGTGGGCAAGGCAAGGCAATTTTATTTATATAGCACCTTTCATACACAAGGCAATTCAATGTGCTTTACAAGGGAAATACGTTAGTGTAAAACATTAAAGGAACAATAGATCATTAAAAACAAAAGCTAAAAGCAAGAAAAACAGTGCAGAAAATGCATTTAAAAAGCAAACATAAAGCAAAAGCAACAGCAGACAAATATAAAAACAATAGCTACAGATTATCCTAACAATAAGTTACATATCTAGTTCACTGGTAAGCTGCAGTAAATAGTAATGTTTTAAGCCCTGATTTAAATGAGTAGGATGCTAATGCCAGGAATGGGAGGCAGAAGTACACTAAATTGGCAACTGGCACAACAGTGTTTTTGCTGACATCACAAATTCACTCAGGCTCTGGTGATTACACTTCAACGCAACTGTGTACCTGTTGTGTTGCAAAATAATCTAAACTCAAAGGTCCACTTACTTGCTTCTTTAGAGCTTTCAGCCGCATTGACCATTGGATGGGGTTTACGGAAACATCTGTTATCTTCACTCTAATGTCTTTTTAAAAATATAGCAAAAGCTACTGCTACTGTTGGTTTTCATTCAACCATATTTATATTTTTCAGTGGTGTGGCAAGAGTTTTAATAATAGACCAAAAGCACAAAAAGCCAGTGCTGTTGTTTAACAAATTTGGCAACAAATATTAGATTTTGACCCTGAGCCCTACATTTATGTAAAGCAATCATTTGCTTTATGTTTAAATTGCTACAGAGACTTGAGTGCCACTGGTAAACTGAATTTGAAAAAAGAGTGGTGAGACACGCTGTTCTGCCTGTGATGACCATAGATGTTTACTGTATGGTCATTTGGAGACCCGGCCCACCAGCCAAGAACAGAAGTACAGACGAAAACACAGATTGAGGAAAGCCTGTTGTTTCTGTTGCCACTTTGCTTACTAAATGAACTGCCAAGCATGGTAGATACTCAATAAGCCAGTCAGCCATACCACACCAAAAGCTTAAATACATACAGTTGTCAGGTCAGATGCTCCACGGTGTGGTCCTTATTCCTCAGCACCAGTGCTATTCAAATGCTGTCTGTCCTTGGCTTGTAAAATACAGTTCCCAGCAGAAGTTTGATTTGATTGTGTTTCAGCACCCCTTCTAGCTCATAGGGGTGATATATATCCATAACTTTTAACTTAGTTGAACCTTTGAGGGAATAGAAAGCATTAGAGTCCAATGCTGTTGTAGCCTACCCTTGTGTCACCTTCAGCTCAGCGTAGCACTAGCATGTTCCAGGCTGGATTGCATTTCAACAGTTACCTCGCCAGCTACAGCAGCCATCAACTAGCCCTGTATGAGAAGTCACAACTTCACTAAGCTGTTAGAATAAGGACACACTAGGCGTTTCCAGACCAGAGCAACTTTTGCATAGTTTTAAGAACTCTTTTCATAGACTTAATCGCCATTATATGGCACTTACCACAATTGCTTCTGTGTAGACAATTGTGGATATATGTACAGTTGGTAAACTTGTTGACTTCTGTTGTCATTTCCAGCACTAACCACAAGATTTAAAGATAGAGATAGTTGAACACTGTGGTCGGACTTATCTTGACATTTCTACTGTATGTATTTTATGTACTGTCTTGTTTTGCTAACTGTTAGATGTTTGGTAAACCACACATATTGACATATTGTAAATATTGCATACACTTAAACTGATATTGATTTTTTTGGTGGGCCTTCTTATGCTTCCACACCAGTGAGAGTTTAAGCCAGAGGCATTGTGTTTTTGGAGTGTCGGAAAGCATAATGCCCATTCTCGTGAACAAGATATCTCAAGAGCACCTTGAGGGAACTTCTTCAAATTCAGCACAATCATTGACATAGACTTAAGAATAAACTGTGTAGGATTTAGTGGTCAAAGGTCACTGTGACCTCACAAAACATGTTTTTGGCCTTAATTCAGAAATTCACATGCTAATTATGACAAAATTTCACACAAAAGGTCAAAGGTCAACTTCAATCTGACATCGAATTGTTCTGCAAAAACACTTTCCTGGCCATTATTCAACATCATATCTCAGGAACAGAAGGGCAGACATTTGGTCAGATACTGAATTGGTGACATTAATCTTGAGTGCCGATCTTGAACCTTTGTCTTCTGTGCTGTCGAGGGGGACGTGTGTGTGAAGCATCTATGTTTTTTTACAGACGTGGATGCAACCTGAGGTTCACAGAGACATCTAACTGCAAAGTGGTAATTCTCATTTTTAGATGGCTAAAAACTAACCAATTGAGGCAGCGTTTGCTCAGCACCATTTTGTTTTATTTACATTAAATATATGACGCAAAAGTTATCTTTTTGAAGTTACTGTAAACAAAGAGTGTGATTCCGTTTATTGTGTCTGCACCACAAGAACAAAGAACGATCCTAGTTCTTAGGATCGTTAGCTTTTTAGCTCCTATTTCAAAGTAGGTTCTCTTTGAGCAAAAGAGGAAACACGAGTGACAGAAGTATATCATGATAGGTCGAACTTGAACACTAATACAGGACTCCCAACTGCCATTTATAAAAGATCTATTAGTTGTGTAAATGACAGAAAACACAAAAGGACAATGGCTCGTAATGACAAAATGGAAGAAAACATGGACAAATGGACCACCAATAAAGTCCAGGCTTTACTGAGTATATATGCAATAGCTGGGGGAAATACATTGCGATTTTTGACTCGCCCGAGTGAAGTATAATGGATTGCAGCAATAGCCAGCTTATGTGGCTTCATCGTCGCTTTTGGTGGTGTCAATGCAAAGAGAAAAAAAAGCCTTTAACGGTATGTAGTTCTAGAGGGAGCTCCCCAGAACTGTTTGGTTGGAAAACGCCTATAGATGAAATTCACTGTACCACTGTGACCAGGGCCTAAAGGAACATTACTGATGTACCTCCAAAGATATTTTTTCTTTCTTTCAGCAATAAAAAAATATTGACAATAAACTTGAAAATCACTTGGACAATAATGTTCGAGCAAAATGGATGGTTTAAGTTGGTTATTGGATGTTCTCCTTTCCTGTGGCCCCCACCCTTCAGGGAGAGTTAACCATGACCAGTGACATGGAGAACCTTCAGAATGCTATTTTCTTGGACATGGTGCCAGACAGTTGGACCAAGCGGGCTTACCCCTCCATGTCTGGCCTGGCCCTGTGGTTTACTGACCTGCTGGCCAGGATTAAGGAGCTGGAAACCTGGTCAGCAGACTTCGTCTTACCCTCTGTGGTGTGGCTGGCTGGCTTCTTCAACCCACAGTCCTTCCTCACAGCCATCATGCAGGCTATGGCTCGAAGGTAAGGTTGTTTTGCATTAGGACATCAAGGGTGTAAATGTGATTGAAACCACTTGGAGTGACAGTAAATCTTTTAATGACAGGAACGAGTGGCCTCTGGACAGGATGTGTCTGCAGTGTGATGTCACCAAGAAGAATCGCGAGGATTTCACTGTACCACCTCGTGAAGGAGCCTATGTACATGGGCTGTACATGGAGGGTGCACGCTGGGACACACAGGTACATGAGTTATTAATTGATTGCTTTGCTCAGCTGTCACGGAGGCAGCATAAAGCTGAATCTGACTTCTAGTCTCCGGGGAAGGTCTGGATACAAAATCAAAAATAGCACACTTTGATTCAGTATCTTATATACAGTCAGGTCCATAATTATTTGGACAATGATACAGTTGTCATCATTTTGGCTCTGTACACCACCACAATGGGTTTTAAATGAAACAATGAATACCTGCTTAAAGTGCAGACTCTCAGCTTTCATTTAAGGCTTTTTTCAAAAATGTAGTATGAACCGTGTAGGAATTACAACCATTTCTTCACACAGTCCCCCAACTTTAAGGGCTCAAGTATTTGGACAAACTAACATAATCATCAATTAAACAGTCAGTTTTAATACTTGGTTGCAAATCCTTTACAGTCAATGACTGCCTGAAATGTTGGACACATAGGCATCACCAGATGCTGGGTTTCTTCCCTGGTGATGCTGTGCCAGCCCTTTACTGTAGCCGTCTGCACTTCCTGCTTGTGTTTTGGGTGTTTTGCCCTCAGTTTTGGCTTCAGCAAGAGAAACGCATGCTCAGTCGGATTCAGGTCAGATGATATGACTTGGCCATTGCAGAACATTCCACTTCTTTGCCTTAAAAATGTCTTTGGTTGCTTTTGCAGTATGCTTCAGGTCATTATCCAACTGCACTGTGAAGCATCGTCCAATGAGTTTTGAAGCATTTGGTTGAATCTGAGCAGATAATGTAGCCCCAAACACTTCAGCTTTCATCCTGCTGCTCTTGTCAGCAGTCACATCATCAATAAATACAAGAGAACCAGTTCCACTGGCAGCCATACATGGCCATGACATAACAGTACCTCCACCATGCTTCACTGATGAGGTGGTGTGCTTTGGATCATGAGCAGTTCCTTCCCTTCTTCCTTCTCTTGTCTTCCCATCATTCTGGTAGTTGATCTTTGTTTTGTCCATAGTATGCTGTTCCACAACTGTACAGGCTTTTTTGATGGTTTTTGACAAACTCTAATCTGGCCTTCCATTTTTAAGGCTAACCAATGGTTTGCATCTTGTGATAAACCCTCTGTATTTATTCTAGTGAAGTCTTGTCTTGCTTACAAGAGCAGCAGGATGAAAGCTGAAGTGTTTGGGGCATCATTACCTGCTCAGATTCAACTAAATGCTTCAAAACTCATTGGACGATGCTTCACAGTGCAGATGGACATTGACCTGAAGCATATTGCAAAAGCAACCAAAGACATTTTTAAGGCAAAGAAGTGGAATGTTCTGCAATGGCCAAGTCATATCATCTAACCTGAATCCAATTGAGCATGCGTTTCTCTTGCTGAAGCCAAAACTGAGGGCAAAACACCCAAAACACAAGCAGGAAGTGCAGACGGCTACAGTAAAGGGCTGGCAGAACATCACCAGGGAAGAAACCCAGCATCTGGTGATGCCTATGTGTCCAACATTTCAGGCAGTCATTGACTGTAAAGGATTTGCAACCAAGTATTAAAACTGACTGTTTAATTGATGATTATGTTAGTTTGTCCAAATACTTATGAGCCCTTAAAGTCTGGGGACTGTGTGAAGAAATGGTTGTAATTCCTACACTGTTCATACTACATTTTTGAAAAAAGCCTTAAATGAAAGCTGAGAGTCTGCACTTTAAGCAGGTATTCATTGTTTCATTTAAAACCCATTGTGGTGGTGTACAGAGCCAAAATGATGACAACTGTATCATTGTCCAAATAATTATGGACCTGACTGTAGATATTTTCTTTTACACACTACTTGTGATGATGAATGACAGACCAACACATGAGCATAAGGTGAGCTAACCCCAAAATGCATCTTTAAACTGAGTCAAGTAAAGTAACTTCACTATTTCTCTCCAAAGGGCCTCCACATTTCCTTTGTGGCTTAATTTTCTGCTTTGCATCCTGCTTGCGTTCGGCTCTCGGAGCGCAGCGCATTACTCAGCTTCCCTGGGCTCTATCTATCTACATACATACAGCTACTGTATATGCGCCCAGCTTTCAAGGAGCATCCCTGTAGACTTCTTAATTAGGGAATGTGCAGAGTGTGCACTTGAACACTTAGATCGCCCTTTAGAGGAGTGGATGCTTTTTTCTTCATTAAAGTTGGAGGTGCAGGCAAAAAGACAGGCAGACAGACGGGCCGGGCAGCTTCTCCTCATAACTCCTCCGCTCTCCTTCTCCTCCTCCTCCTTCTCCTCTCTTCACGTCCTCCTCTCAGCCCCAAGGCCAGTTCTGTGCCACTGGCAGGGAGCAGCAGTGAGTGAATAGGAGAGTAAGCAGCGCTCCATCTGGACACGGCTCTGTGCAGCAATAAAAGTCAAAGATTTATGATAAACCCACTCATCTATATTAATGAAGCTTGCATTTTATTCAGACATCAAAGACAGCTCGATGCTGTATATGATAAACACCTTGTGTACTGAATGGATATAGAAATGCAGATATTACACATGGGAAGTTTGTGTGTTTATGTGATGACTCCAATAAATGGTGATGAATACTTTAGCGTTATGTTACTCTCTCAATATGTTGTGAGACGATACAATAACAATAGATATCAGTAACTGCTGTAACACTGTATATACAGTGTCATTAAAGTAATTTACAGTGAATCTCAATGAGCCCTCATGGCCTGCTTTGAGATACACATCATTTGTATTTACCCAAACACACATAAAGTTATTGGTATTTAACAGCTCTTTAAAGTTTTACAGCAAATGCAGATGCAATTAGGGCTTTGTCCTCTGAGCTTTCCAAAGTCATCAGGATTTACATTCATTCCTGAAAGTCACTGTGCATGCATGGTGAAACTTCTGTTTGTCAGGCGCTAAGTGTAGGAGGATTAATTAATGAGACAGACCACTCTGTTTCAGTGTGTTTATAGAGTGTGTATTCTAAGGCAGGGCAGCTTGACTCCGACTCAAACTCTGCTGACTTTCACCACTTTTCAAGGGTACCACAATATTGTGTTCTGCAAACTGGATGTCTAACATCGTTTGTGCCACCCAAGATTAGTCGAACATCTATTTTTTTCTGCTACAAAAGAACATTATTAAATTCAGCCTCAATGCCAAGTACAGTGTCGTCACCAAGTTTTCACTGCACCTCAAACTAATCTCTAACTTCTCTGTGAAGTGTTTCTGTCTGTGGTTGACTGGCTTGTCATTCCCCCACCCCCATCCCCCAACACACACACACCCTCCCTCCCACTCTCCCTCTCCCTTTTTCTTTCAGACTGGCATGATTGTTGATGCTCGCCTGAAAGAACTCACCCCAACCGTGCCAGTCATCTTCATCAAAGCCATTCCTGTGGACAAACAGGAGAGCCGGAATGTTTACCAGTGTCCTGTGTATAAGACCCGCCAGAGGGGCCCCACCTACGTGTGGACCTTCAACCTGAAGACCAAAGAAAATCCCTCAAAGTGGACATTAGCTGGAGTGGCCTTGCTTCTCCAGATCTAGCAGGAGTCAGAGTGCTTCATTGTGGTTATGGTGCCAACAGGGTCAAGAGTTCAATTCACTTTGGGCCAAATATTTTAAAGCAAGACTGTGTTACTTTTAAAAGAAGAAATATTGCAATTTTCCTCTTGCAAATAAAAGGTTGAGGTTATAAGGAATAGGACACATACTTTCTCAGTTCAGTACACTCAGGGGTTTTGTTGCTGCAGCCTTACTTGTTCTGGTCTGACCAGTAGTTTATGGTGGCTGATGTTAGCAAACATTTGATAGATGTTGCTGTGTCACTGACTAATTACTGAGTCAGTTTACTAACTTACTAACTTTATGACTCATCTCTACTTGTGCTATTTTTACACTAGATTTTTAAGTCCCCCTTCAGACAGATTTTAAAGTTTTATACTATCATTTTGTTTTACAGGGTTTTTGCAATCAAAACAAAAGAAAAAAACTTCCAAAAGGGGCTGGAAGCACATCTACTCTTTCCCCCTCATTGAGAAATTCTGAACAGATTTCACTATACATGTTTGAGCCTCAGTCAGACTCAGATGAGGAGTTTGTTGTTGCACCAAAATCAGCGACTAGCAGACGTATCAGAAAAGTGTAGTTAGTATCTTTTATTTGTTTATATTGTTTGTTTGCTTGTTAGCCTTTAGGATACCGGCAGTAGCTGACACGGTGTTAGTGATTGTGAAACATACAATTATATCTGCTTTAATGGTACATTGTGTTCACATTGCTCCGGTTAACATCCAAAAACTGCACTCTACCATGTTTGCTGTCCAAACTCTCACTATGCTAATGCTAACTCTGCTCTCTATACTGACTGGTCCACTCTGTGCTAGAGGTCTGCTACTCCTGTTGATATGTGTTTCCCATATTAGACAGAGACTGGCTTTTGTGTTAGTGACATTACCTAATCTAGCTTGCCAGCATACATTTAAATCCCAGATTTAGCGAAGTGGACAGACATCACCACCTTCACTAAAGGAATGTGACAAACTTTCCACAGACACAAGCCAGTATAGTCAAGGTCAGACAGCACGCAGGACAAAAACATAAGAAAGAATCATGTTAGAATGGAGGGGGACTTAAAGCATGTCACAAAACCAAAACAAAATGTAAACAAACTGAAACCATATACCATAAAGCTTCAATTGAAAGCCAAGTCCCAATTAAACGCAGAGTGCCTTTAACAGTGAGGTCTGGTTACACATTTGGACACATAAAGCCATTCTCAATTAGACACTGGATCTGGTTGACATTGATGCTGGGGAACAGTTCCTTTTTATCGTCCTTTGGATGTATAAAATCTGGTAAAGCACACCAATTGTCAGCTACCTGCTTAAGCCAGCGTTAACTGCTTAGATTGCGCATTCAAATACAGTCTAAATGTTTAAACTTTTGTCTTTTGTATGGACATGCTACATTGCAATGCATCATTCACTCGGTTAGAATCTCCACAATATAGTCATAAATTTCATTTTCTGGAACGTTGAGCACCAAAATATACTGTAATTTAGTCAGATTTACGGGCATGGTAAACAAGAGAGACGAAAAAAAAAGGTGGAGGCTCCCTACCTCTGATGCTGTCATGAAGTCCGAATATTTAGCCGATATTCTTTTAGTCCATAAGGGTCCACCAATCAAGAAAATCAAAGGGGCTTTTCGTAAAAATTCATCAGAATTGCCAATATTGTTTGAAGAGAATAATATTGGTATTTCGTCAGTATGCTGTAAGTCTTTCTCTCTCTTTCTCCCTCTAATGCGCTGTGTGTCACAGAGTGGTAGATCAAATGAATGATTCATAATTTGATAGCCTAATTTTCATACAAGTACTATTCATACCGTTTAAAATAAACAATTTAATAGTAGGCTAATTCTTGTCTTTGCAGAGCAAGAGTTTTGTATGAAAGGAATTAAAAGCCCGTCCTATATAGACACCTGTTTCAGATACGTACACACCAGTTGAGGTCAGTGATTGAAGCAAATAATAGCCCGGGCTATTAATTGAAGTTTCACGGTATATTGAGAAGACATGTTTCATGTTTCTAGCTTGAGGTCGCATCCCACTTGGGAGACTTTGGAGCAACCAGGACGACCTGCAAAATGAGGGTTACATGACAGACAGAGACAGATGAAGGCATCAGTAGGCTACTTTTTGGTGCCTATTTCGTTTACTCGCACTATAAGAATGCAATTAGTGTAGAAGCAGGCAACACAAAAGAAGTAAAACATTTCACCAAAGGGAATATGTGGTTACACTTGTTAATCTTTTTTATTTTTTCCACCTCTATATATTTTTATCAGAGCAGTGCCTTATGACTTAGTTTCAAATCACTGCAAAGCAATTTTAAATATAAAGACAATGAAAGAAACAAACTCACTACCAACAAGTAGCAGCCCCAGCCTTTCTCGACAATATGACATGACACCCCTTATGAGCAGTCATTCAAACACAGTTAATTAGAGAGAATGTATAATGTGAAATATCAGATAGTGAAGAGGGCACGGCTCAGTGCCACTCAATGCAACTGTCAGTTGCAGGCTGTGATGGTCCCTAGAGAGTCTCCCAATTCCACCCACTCTGTTAGGTCACAAAATGATTGTCTTTAACCCAACAGACTGAAAAGCTCTTGAAATGAAGGGAAATTCCAGCCCATTCACCAGAATACACTGTCAGCCTTGTACATTTCTGCAAACCACAGATATGTGACATTTGTACATTTCGTAAGACATAGTTTAGATAACATGTATAATGGCTGAGTTTGTCATCAGGAGAGGGAAGGAATGGTTGATGACACCTAGGTGAAACAGTGGATTGTGGATGGAAATTCACTGTGCCATATCCTGTAATTACTCTCTGGGGCTACAGCGACCACTGTTGCAAAAATTACATAGTCTCACTTTATATCTCACTTCTAGGTTCAGATCTTGTACATTTTCTGGTGTCATGGCCAGTGGCAGGAAATCTCTCTACCCACCCGCAGGAAGTTGTGACGTGAGACATCTCAAGAGTAGAACCCAAAGTGTCTCAGAAACGACTGAAAGAGAAAGTACCAGCATGAGATCGTTTGCCTCTCTCGTCGGGTACTTGCTTTCTGGGTGTTAACATTTCAGATTTGCTTTTTTTGCCATTCAATGATTTTAATGTGTAAAATTGCCTTTAAATGCAGCTCTCTGAGCCCTCAGTTGTTAAAGACCATTAAAATCAGCCATGACTAGTTTGTTGACTTTGTTTGAACTACTGTATCTAACTTATTAAAATGCTAATTATCTGTATGTGTTTGAGGACAAATTCTAGCAGTATCATGCATCTGTGAGTCACTTTATGAGGAGGTGTTATAAAGCTGCAGCTGGTTGGGAAATATCACAGAATAAATTGAACTATTGGGTGATTTCACACATTTTAGCTGAATCCAAATCTGTAAAAGTACGTACAATATGTACACATTTTCTAATAACATAATAATGTCTTAATTGATCATATAGATTTATGTTTTTGTGTGTATACAAATTATTTTACATTAATTTCCACTTTCCAAAACTTCCAGAGTAAAGATGCTTTATCTCGTCGTTCCAGGTTGTGCATTTGGTTTTATTTTCACATACTCTATAATATATCCCACTTTAGTGCCAATATGCAGTCAGTCCCCTATCTCCCGTTTCCAGTCTCCCAGTTCTGCCTTCTCTCTTCCAAGTCTTTAGACCAACTCTCTCTTCCTCCTCTCTCTCTCCTCCTCCTCCTCCTACTTCACTCCTTTTTTCTTCCGTCCTCCCCATTTGAGATTAAACAGCCCTCTCCACAGCAGAAAGTGGGGAGTCTCACAGATATATCCCTTGACAACACGTACAGTAGATGCACACGTGTGCACTACAGTATAAGCAAGTTCTTTTTCGTCCTTGTTCTCTTGCTGTCTCAGCCCAAGTTCCCCGGCATCTCCTTTATCTAGTTATTAGAGAGTCTTAACAATGCATGGAGGTGTGAGGAGGAGGAGCAGATGAGGGGAAGTAGGAGGAGGAAAGCAATGATGCAGGTTGAGGCAATTTATGTAGAACTCCCAAATTACACCTTCAGGTGGCATTATGAAAATAGATTCTGCCTGTGTGTACGTTACCCATGCAACTGTAGTGTGACTTTGCACAGGAGAAATATTCTGGCCTGTAGTGCAGCAGTGGTGCTGCAAAAATGTTCGTATGCGCTAAAGTATTACAAACTCATTCAGTTGACCCTTTGCTAAGCCCTGACTCCCTTAGTTACTGTTGCTATGCTTGCCCAGCTTCCCATGCGCATGGCACATGCAGTTTACAGTGGTGGCAGATTTACTACTCCCAACAATGAGTCTGAGATTTCACACACAAGTAAACGAAAGCAGCTTTTAATTTCCAGCCAATAACCTTCATTTTTATCAGCTGAAAGGACAAGTAGATAGCTAGTGTCAGCTAATTGCCCAATGCTAACCCAGAGAGTTGGTTAAAAAGTCCTTCTGCAGCTGATTTTTTGTTTTCAAGTGACAAGATTTAAATGAGAGCCCAGTAAAAAGCCCTTACAGTATGTTAGCACTTGACAGCTACATTTTACGGTCAATAAGTCCATATCCTCACCAGCTGATGAACCATGTAAGATATGGAAAATAAAAGAGCAGACTTGTTCTCTGATCAGCCCTACGCTGCCTTTCTCTTCCTCTGACTGGCTTACCCTGATATTCTAACTGTAACACTAACCAGTCTCACTCCTCATGCCTAAACCTAACCAATCCAACCCAATCAGAGGAAGAGTAGGGCAGTTCATGCCTAGGAAAGAAAAGCCCATAATACAGCCAGTTAGCCCAGTATTATCAATAAAAATATATTTAAAATGTTATTGGTTCTAACCTTCTGTAGAGCAATGCTAAAAGTCTACAGAGCCTGTACTGAGGCACAGTGGTGCTTTCAACTAAATGCTGACTTCAGCATGTTAGTATTGTACCATACTGCATGTCTGTCCAATAGTTGTCAAAGTTCAT